AAAAATATTCCAAAATGTTGAAGCTGCAATTAATGCAAAAATACAAATTCCTATATATTGGTTGTCGGAAAAGTCATGACGTATATGCAACAAAGTATGCAATTGCATGGTTGGAAGTACGTGAGTCAATGACATTTGTATGTTGATTGTGTAGTTTGACAGTTGACACTTCAAGCTTCATTTGCACCAAAAAATTAAGTGATTTATTTGAGTCTCGTCGATTTTAGAGGACGTTGAAGATGGACGACCAAACTGTGCATTTTCGTCACATTTTGCTGTATTACTTCCGCAAAAGCAAGAACGCAAGACAAGCGTGTGAAAAGTTGAGAAAGGTTTATGGAAAACATGCACTACAAGAACGGCAACGCCGGAGATGATTTAAAAAATTCCGACATGGGGATTTTGATATCCATGACGCACCTCGATCAGGGCGGCCTACTGAGTTGGATAGTGACGAATTAAAGGCATTGGTAGGAGCAAACCCACATTACACCACACGGGAAATTGCAGAAACCTTAAAAATCCATCATTCAACCGTTCACGACCATTTGAAGAAACTGGGATACGTAAGCAAACTCGATCTTTGGGTACCACACGAACTGAGAGAGGTTCATTTGACGGCGCGTGTAGACATCTGCGATATGCTCCTTAAACGTGAGGAAAACGATCCTTTCTTAAAGCGCTTGATAACGGGAGATGAAAAGTAGATTGTTAACAACAATGTGGTTCGCAAAAGGTCTTGGTCCCGAAGTGTAAATACGCGTAACACGATCGCAAGCAGAGAGTCATCAGGAAAAGGTGATGCTCTCTGTTTGGTGGGATTTTAAAGGGATCGTGTTTTTCGAACTCCTGCCAAAGAACCAAACCATCGATACAACTGTGTATTGTCGGCAATTGGACAGTTTGCAACAATCCATCATGCAAAAACGTCCGGAGCTCATTAATCGCAAAGGAGTTGTGTTCCACCATGACAACGCGAGACCGTACACAAGTTTGCTCACTCGTCAAAAGTTATTGGAGTTAGGATGGGATGTGTTACCACATCCAGCATACTCGCCTGATCTTGCCCCATCTGATTTTCATTTGTTTCGGTCGCTTCAAAATTCCTTGCGAGAAATACGCTTTACTTCAGATGAAGCTGTACATCAGCACCTTGTTCAATTTTTTGCCGGTAAAGACAAATCCTTCTACGAGCGAGGAATTATGAAGCTGCCTGAAAGATGGCGAAAGGTTATCGATCAAAATGGGCAATACATTATTGATTGAAGTTTGTGCTGTATATGAATAAAATGGCCTTAAAATAAACAAAAAAAAGCGTCATGACTTTTCCGACAACCCAAACATTTTGTCAAAAACGATACGTACAAATAGAACTGTACCACTGATAGCACCAAAATGCTGACAGTTAAGGGTGATGTTGCTAATTTCTTAGAGAAGGATGAAAATGCGAGGATGTGCCAGGGAATAATAACTATCTAAGCTCTCTAAAGTAAAAAACAAATCTCAATACATCTATTAATAAATTAACTTATATTTTTTATTGAAATTCAGCACCAAATCGTTGTGAAAATAATTCCCCCATCGTATCAGTCATTCCCTCGTTTCATAGTTTTTCAAGTCACTTTTCTATATGTTATACACAAAAATATGGAGAACCTTCATTTTTAATGAAGCTCACTAAAGTAAAACTTTATATTTCTGCAAAAAAAAGGATATATTTTCATTATTTTCTTTAAGAAATGCAAAATGAAATTTCTAAATTTTTTGAGAAATACCCATGTGTCTATACATACAGTTCTTTTTTATACACGTTGAACTCAAGCTGTCAGACAAATTTGGTTCATAAGGTGTTAAAAATCCAATTCAATACATCATGTTAGTTGGCCATTTCCAATGGTGACTGTCGGCATTTGAGCATTACCAGGAGGACTGACTGGAGATATTTTATAGCCAAAAAAAGAATTGGACCTGAAGCCCAGATTCTCTTGAATGTGTTGTTCAAAATGATCCTACTTCTCTTACTATAACTGCAATGCTTTGTATGCGTTGAAATAAAGGATTGAACTTCTATGTAAATGTATGCAGATGCGGCGTATTTATCCATTGCATTTAATGCTGTACGTAAGTTTCATTTATGCCTTTTACTGACTATTATATGCTCTCTGAATGCTAATTTAGATCGTATCGTACTATGCGACGCGTGACAGAGTCATTCATAGTTTATGGTCAAGATGCTGTACTTATTATATCTCACTGTCAGGTAGTCTTTCGCACTATTTCTGTAACGTACATGGTGCTTCCTAAAAACACGGATAAAATTCAAGGGATGACTCCGTGAACTATTTTGTTTTTTGACAACTGTCGAAATATTGAAAAAAGTTACGTAGCGAACAAAATTTTCACTTGTAATTAGTAGAAAATATACAGGGCGTCCTTGGAATTGGAAACAACTACTTCTGAAGTAACAAAGCTGTGCGCGATAAGGAAACAGCGGATACGTAAAAAATAAATTGAAGAAAAGTACTCACTGTTCAAATTTTAAATACTGCCATGTCATACGTTTGCTTCAAAATACTGTTAAAGTTGTCACCATTCAATTAGAAAATACAGGTTTGTTAGGACGAAGTTTATAGTGCAACATTTGGAGCTGACTACGTCGTCTAGTGCGTCCACCTCGACAACCTTTGCACGATATAAACAAACGTGTTTTTTTTAATAAATTACTGTGACATCTTTTTTATTTAAATTGACAATCAACGTAGAATGTTTGCGTTTTTACTTTTTTCTGTATCACTGAAGGAGGCAACCAATTTCTTCCGAAACGTCGACACTTTATAATATGAAGCTGTGTTACCTTAGATACTTTTTTACAAATAAAGGTCACTATAGTCAACGCCAAACAAAGTGGCATGCACGTCATCACGATAAAAATTCCCCGACCTAATGCCTAGGTTTCTATCACAAACAATTGCTCTATTGCAGTTTCATATTAATGTGATATATAAATTGTAAAATGGTCATTACTCTCTTATTATGGTTAATAGTCAAATAAACATTGTTATTAAAATATCACATAAGTTGCTTTCTGATAAATTTAGACGCATTATGCGAAATAAAATGTTTTGCAAACGCTCCAATCACTTATCGACATGTAAACGCACTAAACCGATTTCGCAGCGTTGACACATTGTCACCTTGAAAGTTTCAACTGGGAACTGACATTTGTATTAATTTTGACACTGAATCAATTTGTGGCATTTCAAATCTTTATAAATCCTTTGGCCCCGGATACTGTAAATCAACAACTGTTTGTTTCAAAACAAAATTATTCATTTTACGAGTAGATAAAGGCAATTTTGGTATATAAAGATGCCCAAACAGTTAAATAGTCGGTGTAAGGAACTCGTGGCCTCGTTAATGCACTACTTTGAGCAAGAAAGGGACAACAACGGGCCTTTGTTGCCTTTAAATGCTGTTCAAGAGGTAGGTTACTAATAATTATATGTAATGTATATTAATAATAGTGAAATTTTATTTCATTTTTTGTAGCGTGTTGCTGCTGCTTTAAAAATTAGTTTAAGGACAGTTAGTCGTATTTCCGAGGGTGTGAAAAGTGATGCAAATTTAGAATCGCCCAAGAAAAAGCGGAGTTATATTAAACGTGTAACCAACACAGCGACATTGGATACAAGTGCCATTCGAGAAGTGATCTATAATATGTATCACAAAAGTAAGATCTTATAATAACTTATCAGAAATTTGCATTAATTTGTTAACTAAATTATAATGTCATATTACACATGGTTTCAGAAGAACAAGTTACGATACAAACTTTATGGTCTCGATTAAGAGGCATTATTTGATGGTAGTGCCACGTCTTTAAGGCGGTTGCTTAGAGATCTTGGATTTAAGTGGCTTAAGGACAATCCGCGACGAGGGCTCATGGAACTACCAAGTATAGCTTTGAAAAGGGTGGAATTTCTAAGGCAATACAATCAAGCCAAGGTTGAGGCCTTATACCAGTTTGTCTTCCTCGATGAAACTTGGATATTTCAAAATGGGACCATAGGTCGCTCTTGGCAAAATGGAAACCAAAAAAGCGTGAAAGCTATTAAAACAGATGGTAAAAGGTACTTTTACACAATTTGCACTATAAAATTTAAAACTAATATATTTTAGATACATTATATTACATGCTGGAAATGAAAATGGGTTTATTGAGGGTAGTGAAGCGATATTTTCTTCGAAAACAAAATTGAGCGATTACCATGGAGAGATGAACCAGGACAATTTTTTGAAATGGTTTCAACATCAGTTATTAGAAAAATTGGAGAGTCCATCTATGATTATACTGGATAACGCCCCTTATCACAGCATGATATTGAACAAAGTGCCCAACAATGCATGGACAAAAAAAATATCCAAGACTGGTTGACAAATCAAAACATACCATTTTTAAACACAATGTTTAAAACGGAGCTATTGAGTATTGTTGCTCGGTACATAATGCTTCTTAATTATATATATTTTGGTCGACAGTTTATATTTCTTTTGTTTATTCCTATTCTTAAAATAATTGCTTTTTTAGAAACAAACCACCTAAAATATACGTGATTGATGAATTGGCGGAACAACATGGGCACAAAGTTCTTCGTCTGCCTCCTTACCATTGTATATTTAACCCTATTGAGTTAATTTGGGCATAGCAAAAGGTTACTATAACAGACATATTGGTAGAGATGGTAACAGTGAAAAAGACTGTTTGGATATGTGGAACGAGGCTCTACAAACGGTTACCCCAGACATGTGGAAAAATAGTGTTCGACATACTGAGCAAGAAATTTTTAAATGGTATGAAAGAGAACGAATTTTTGATCGACCAGACATCGAACCTTTAATAATCAACTTTGAGAGTGATGAAGATTCAGATTCAGACAGCGCTGAAGAAAGAAACTCCGACTAACTTTATTGTACAGAAAAAGCTTACACCAGTAGCTTACCTAATTTTAGAATGCATTTTTCTGTATGAATTCTGTAAAATAAATACCATGCATAAAATTTGGAGGACCCCATTTGGATTTTTATTCAGTACCTTTAAGCTATCAATTAAATATGGTAGTTTCATAGTGTCATCTGATCAATAATTGTCATACTTAATGATTATGCAAGTACAGATCTATAATTTTATTATACTATTATTTTTGTTCTCATTTGAGGTTAATATTGCTTATAAACCTAGATATGTAAATAATAAATTTTATTATTTTACAAAAAGTTTGGCAACAATGTAAATTTTTCAACACACCCACCTTGATGACGTGCACGCCACTTTGTTTGGCGTTGACTATAGAAGACTGATGTTCTGTACTACATTTGGGAATCTGTTTGAGCAGCGCTGAGAGAGAATGGGTGACTGAAGAAGTAAAATTTCCGCCTCAGTGTCTTGTGTGCTTCAGTGACTGATCCTTATCCAAGGAAACAGGATGCAGTGTGGCGGAAGTATATCTGGAAGGCAAAGGCGTGTAGGAAAGCTACCCACTTGGAACGTGCACAAGAATCTTTCAGGAGATATTTGCCATCTTGCGGCTGCTGTACAGTTGCCCGAGGGCGGAAACGATAACATTAACGGAAACCAGAGAAAACTTCAATTGCATGTTATCCGTACAAATATTTTGTTAATCCGATTTTTGAACTGGCGAAGGGAACGCTTTCTCTTGTAGATTGTTCTACAATCTCGGCACTCTCGGGAGAAAGAGAGCTAGATCGCCAAAGGTCCGCCGGTGCGAAAGGATCCCGGGACTGTCTGTTAGAGAAGAGTCATTGGAAGACAAAATAATGTAGTCGGGGCGGCAGCACCCCATACGTGTGATCAATACTCGAGGCTAGGTCTTATCTAGGCCTTGTATAGAGTGAGAAGAACATGCGGAGAAAAGTACTTCTTATCCCTAAATATACTAGCTTTTTCAATGCAGCTGCCGCTATTGACGAGATGTGTTAGTTCTGGATCAAGTCCTCGGTGATCTAAACTCCGACTAGCCGAAATAGACGGCTCTTTGGTAGAACTCGGCCATCCATCGAAACCGGATGAGCGATTGGACGCTTTTTGTTTGTCCAAGTACAGTATTGTGTTTTGGAAGCTTTAAACTGTTTATTAAGATTGTTGCGTCCCCAAGCAGTGATAACCTCCAGGTCTCTCGTCAGAGGGGAAGCCACATCTAGTCTCAGCTCACCCGCGGAGATCGGTTTGTCGTTTTGAATTCCTACATGTAGAGTACAAAGCTGTGGATTGGGTTGATCATACAGAAAAGGAGATCGTTGATATGTAAGAAGAACAGTGTCGGATCCAAGACCGATCCCTGGAGAACACCCGCGTAGACGTTGCGTTGGGATGAAGAGGAGTACCCGTCAATTACGACGGATATCTTGGGGCCAGAGAGAAAGTCAGCCACCCATCTGCAAAGTGATATCAAGACCAACGCATAAGACTGGATGAGTTCACTCCACAATTGCGTGACGTAAGCTAGGAGGTCCACTGTGGATCGCTAGTGCCGAAAACTATACTGCCTGTCGCTAATCAAGCAGGGACGTTCGAGGTACTCCAGAAGCACGCGATTTATGCACCTCTCCATCACCTTGCTTTCAATAGAAAGCAGAGCTATAGGCCAGTGGCTGTAAGGGTCGGTCTTGGATCCTTTTCTTTTTTTTTTTTGGTGTGACAAACGGAAACGGGAACAGCAACGGGAACGAGAACGGAAACGTTGGCCAAGATTCAACCTTTCCGTTCCGTTGCTTTCTCGGTGCCATTCAGAAAGCTTAGAATGCGCGCATTAAAGCCCGTCGCCTGTTTTTAGATGAGTAAAATATTTCTAAATGCCCATTTCTCGTTCCTTTCTTTGGCCATTTTTCTGTCCAACCATCTATAAAATATACATAAAAGGGTACTATAAAAGTTATTTTCACCACATTCAATACACTTCTTCATGCGCCAAAACCAGTCCTTAAACCAGCTCTGTCAAGTTTCACCTGGGAGTGCGGCACACTCGTTGTTCCAAGTCCTCGGAAGGTCCTCATCGCTAGAAAACCGTTTTTATTTTAGCTTCATTTTCACATGCGGAAACAGTAAAAAGTTGCAGAGAGCAAGATTTGGACTGTAAGGAGGGTGCTCAATAGGTTTCAGTCCAGTAGTGGTCAAATATTCGGTGTAGGCAGGTTGTTATGGTGGAGGTACCAAGTGTCAGGCTCTGGTCCGTATACCACTTAGCTGTGACTGTCTTCTCTGTGTATAAAACGACACGCTCCACAATGCCCCTTTTTTCTTAACAGATCGGGATTTTCTGATAGCTACGGGTGTCTCCTCATCATCAAAGACCCAAACCGTGTTTTGAGCCTTGGTCAACGTGTCGTAATAATAGAACCAAGTGTCGTCGCCTGTCACGATGCTGTTCACATATCGAGATTGCTTCTTATAAAACATTTTCAGCATCTTTCGGCACCAAGTCGTACGAAGAGTCTCCTGCTCTTCCATCAGACTATGCGGTATCCAGGGAGAACGAACTTTCCTTATGCGTAAATGGTCATGCATAATGAATTAATTGCTGGTGCATGACGGGTAAGGCCTCCTCTATCTGTTGGTATGCCACTCTCCGGTCTTCGACAAGCATTTCCCTCACAACAGTAATGTTTTACCCTATTGCTGACGTTAGAGGGCTTCACAGTGAAACTGCCTCTTTGGAATTCACTGTACCACCTGAATATAGTCCGTACGATGAGGACAACGATTCCTTAATGCAAGCGTCTTTTCTTCTAAGTACTGGTTTATGCTTAAGCCATGCGTATAGCACTTTACACTGTCAATACAAATGAACAACTAAATCAACAGAAGTGCTACTGGCATCTACTATGTACTCATGAACATGTCTCAATATGCAGTAACATGCAGCCTCCTCCGTCCGTTTGTTAAGCCATATCGCACAACTTTGTAATTCCAGTTATTATGTGATTTATGATTTTTCAAATTGTGCCTATCTCCTAATTTCTTCTTATCTCATTAAATCAAGGACACACATTGCAAAAAAGTGAAGGACGCAATCAGAAACTGTTCTTGATAACCCATTTTTTGTTCAGTTTTTAGGACCAAAGGTTCCTGGCGCGTCGACAAACTTCGGTCGCACTGGCTACTGGACAGGGGTAGAGAATCTCCCAACCTTATGGTGGGGGTTCGTTCCACTTTCTGAGCTATTGCTCTGAATATTTCAGTCTAAAGGCTGAGATTATCCGGGGCCATGGAGTTTGATTGTGAAGTTGCTTATTATGTGGAATGATCGGGGAATGTGTCCTTGATTTAGAGATCAGGAAGGATAGAAAGATCAGTGAATTAACAGGTTCAGTAGAGTATTGGTACACTCGGGGTCAAATGTGGCCTAAATGCCTGGCTTTGCCTCACCACCACCGCTACTACTGGGCGGAGCATCAAATAAATATGGCTTTTTATGACATACTAAGTGACATATAAATCCGAACACCCAGTTTAAATGGTTTTATTTTAATAAAAGTTGGTGAATGTATTTATCTTACTGTAAATAACAAGTGAAAAAATTTTCAGCCTTATCAGTTGGACATTCCGGTTTTTATACTGCTTTTTTTTTAATTCACTAACGCTCTAAAAATGAATATTTCAGCCGCAGTAAAGAATCAACGTTGGCGGATTTTGGTTCTTGACATCCTTTACGATCGGTTACGATGCCTAGAGTACGGAGACCTGTACGATTTCGTCAACTTAGTGAGTTTGATAGGGGCCGTATACTGGGACTTCGGGAAGCTGGACTTTCTTTTCGGGCAATTGCAGTTAGAGTGCAAAGAAGTGTAGACACTGTGGTTAAAGGTTATCAGGCATGGCTTCGAGAAGGCCGTACGCAAAGAGCAAGGGGCACTGGACGCCGCCGTAGAACAACAAACCGTGAAGATCGCCGCCTCTGATTATTGGCCTTAAGGGACCGTTTCTCCACTACCAGGTCCATTGCAAATGAATGGTTTGCAGAACACGGAAGACCTATTGGCATGCGAAGTGTTTACCGACGAATGAGAAGTTTTGGCTTGTTTTCATACCGGCCACACTGGGTAATCCCTTTAACTCGAGAACACCGACGTAATCGCCTTGAGTGGTGCAGACAACGGTCACTCTGGGATCAGGAATGGAACAGTATTGTCTTCAGTGACGAGTCTCGATTTTGTTTAGGCATGCACGATGGTCGTGCCAGGGTTAGAAGGCGACGTGGTGAAAGAAGGAATCCACATTTTTTTTTTGAAAGACATGTTCATCACACTGTTGGAGTTATGGTTTGGGGTACTATAGCTTATGGTTCCAGGTCACCTTTAATCTTCATCAGAGGTAACATGAACGCGCAGCGTTATATCCACGAAGTTCTAGAACCCCATCTTTTACCCTATCTTGACACCCCGGTAGATCCAACTTTCCAACAAGATAATGCCCGACCAATATTGCAAGACTCACAATAGACTTCTTTCAACATAATGATGTCACATTGTTACCATGGCCACCAAGATCTCCCGACTTATCTCCAATTGAGCACGTGTGGGATATGATGGGTAGGAGATTGCTCAATTTGCAACGTCCTCCTCAGACTCTAGAAGCACTTCGAGAGGAGTTGGTGGTTGCCTGGAATGAGATACCACAGGAGGACATTGACCACCTGATCAGAAGCATGCCTAGGCGCGTTGAAGAATGCGTAGCACATCAGGGTGCATCCACACATTATTAAAGGTCAAAGGGCTTTAAAGCAGTGCAATCATTTTGAAATTTTTATCATTTACTTATTATGCTTCATTAAGTACTTATACAAAATTTTATTAAAATAAAACCATTTAAACTGGGTGTTCGGATTTATATGTCACTTAATATATTTGCAAGACATATGGTGAAGACGCAATGGTGAAAATAACGATCTGGGCGAGAGAAAACGATAATTCAGCACATAAAACTAACCACAAACAATTTTTGTTACAATATGGACA